ATTGGCACCAGTCTGCCATACACTCTCTCACGGAGGTAAATTGTGTTCACATCATTGCTGCTATAATAGCATAGCATGACAATTGGTACCTAAGTCTAAAATTGTTTTTGTTTCCTTTTAGTTAATTTGAATGCCATGGAGCTAAAGCTGTTCTGTTGTTATATTTTCTTCTGTACCAGCAATAAAGACATTTGTAGCTGAAAGATTGTCTCCAGCCGGGTCAATCACAACGCAGAGTACCTCGACACGGGTGTGACAAATCATTCCGCTACACTGACACTCATCACACTATTGGTGATTAGTGGTCAAGTTTACATTCAAGTCTTTACTTTGTACAGGCCACTACAGAAGTGGGCTAGTTAAAAGTCATTAATAATACATTTTAATTCAGACAGTTCATTGTGTACATGTATGAAATGTACATGCAGTAAAACACTGATACAGTAGTTAGCACAAATAAAGTTAGTCTTTCGAATTAGTCACAAAGTTATGCAACTTCAAAGACAGCACTATGTTTTTCATAGTAAACAAGCAGTAAAATATAAATGGTAAACTATTTTAATGTCCAAAGACAAGAAGATATTTTGTTTTTACAGTTTGTTATTGGACCAATTCTATTCAAAGTTAAAATAAATCACCCAGACTCCTATTTCTGCAGGTTTCTCTTCTGTCAGAGGACGCCACACTGGTGGAACTGTCACAGATGTAGCTGCACCTTCTGCAAATCTCCCATCAGCCTGTATATTTGGTGTTGTTCTGCAGTCATGTGTTAATACTGTCTGCTGTGTGATATTACCACACACACTGTACCTGGTTGTTCTCTGTGTGTATGTGTGGCGTGAAGGCATATGAAAAGATGGACCAAAATTAAAACAGTGACACTGGGCTCCAGCACCAAATGTAAACCACTAATGCCACATCTATCACAACTGGAAACTGCATGATTACTGTGTGGGTTAAAGGAGACTCGGCCCACTATTATACATTAACATGCACTGTTTTGGTTAAATGAAAACCTTACTACTACTTCAAGTTTGTAACTGCTTGTGATAAGCCCTGTATAAAAACAGTAAGCAGTTTATGAAGAATAAAATCAGCCTGAATCTCTATCTGTAGCCTTTTTGTGCATTTGTTGTCAGTCTGGCTGTAAAGCAGAGAGAGACTACAACAAAAATAGTGGCAGAAGGGGGAAAGGATCATTAAATAAAATGCGCCACAATCAAGACTTGTCTGAAATTATCAACAGTTTTTCTTTCAAGAGCTGAAAATCATCAACAGACATTGAGGTTTATTCAAGCTCAGAACTTGACTCTTCTTCATGGCAGACAGGTCATCCAGAAAAGAGGCAAAATACTAACAAACTAACATGGAGGAGGGGTCAAAAACAGCTAGAACTAAAATAACTGCTAGAAAATTAATCAGCAAATTATCGGGTAATCAATTAAGTTTGTCTTTTTTTTTCTTTTTTACAAAAAAGAGCCAAAACAAAACTACTATATTCTGGCAAGTTGTAAACCAATGATTAATGGAGTGAGAAAATACATGCCTGATTAATCACTTATGAAAATAATCATGAGTTGCAGGCCTAAACAATATTACTTAGGCTCAGAGTATGAGTGCATATTGTAGCTTTAAATTATACAGGTCAGATTGCAGTATAGAATAAAACCAAGAGTCAAGGCACAGGTTTAAAGAGGTTGAAAATGTGTAAGCTTTGGTATTAACTGCTTTTAGCTTCTAGTTTAGTGGTTTAATATCTTTTTTCTGTATCTGTACTGATTTATAGCTATACATACCACCTTTGACCAGTTAAATACCAGTAAATTACTCAAGCCTATCATCTAACTATACTATTTTCTATCTATGACTGCAGATGTTATCCACTCTGAGCCAATGTTAAAACAGGACTCTTTTCAACTCAAAATTTGTTGAGTTATTTAAAAAAAACAAAGTACAATTCAAATAAAAGCTGGACTCCACAGGGAACAGTACTATGCACTCGATAAAGTTTCTTCCCAGGCAGCACAAAATTTTCAACAAAGACCAAAAGCCAGAAAAAGTGAACATTACTGTAATGTCAAAGAACAACATCTGGGTTATATAGATCCCCTACTTCGGAGGGTCCAAGAGGGGTGTGTAAACTCCATTTTGTGGCGTGTTGCCCATTTGGCATAAATGGCCTTCTCAGTGATGAAACGATGCCCCCCGTGACGTGTGTGCTCGTGGACTTTGTACATCCTGCACTCATCGAGTCGGTTTCGTTCATAGTAATGGTAAGGAACACTGCGATTGGCTTGACTGTCAGGAGGAAGAAAGTTCCAGAAGCAGGTGTGGTGTTACATAGGGTACTAAACTGAAAAACAGATTAAGCTTTGTGTAGAGCATTAACTCAAGTCATAATTTCAAATGGCTCACCTGCAGTAGTTATCATCGATCATCCCGTACACATGGATACTGCCACACATTTCAATAGTCAGAATCATTGTGAAGAATCCAGTGCTGAGATATGCCCCTGTCTTCATTCTGAGGGAGAAACACCAAACATCTGTTCTTTAAAAAGATATTTAAAACTAAAGCTAAAATAATGTTGATTGATCAACTGAAAATAAATTGTCATTTTTTTCCTTCAGAAATAGTGGAAAATGCCAAATATTCTCTGATTCTTGCCTCATGAGTAACATTGAGATTTCATTAACATAAGATTTCATTGTTATTTCTTGTAAGCGTGTCATTCCATTTATTCACCTGGGATGTTAAACACATAGTGTACCTGTTTTTTCCAGTTTCCCTCTGAAACACATTGTCACAGTACTGAATCTTCTCTCTGGTCACAACAAAGATTCTGACTTTTGGATATTTCTTTGCTATTTTCAGGAGAGTGTTAAAGATCCGTCCTTTCCCGTCTTGTCTCATGTTCCTGTCAGGACCCCAGAACACGTACGTGGTGTCTGCTGATTGCTTAAAAAAGTAGCGCTCATTTTTTACCAACAATGGAACGCTGGTATGAGACACAACCCGAACAGTGGTGCGGCTCCCTACGTCCTTCTCATAGCCCCCTGTGGGTGCATTGTTCATCCGGATAACACATCTGATCTTGTCGATCTCTTCTCCAACACCAGCTCCAAGCATCTGACCTGAGCTGGAGACCAAGGCACAGTGGTTGCAGTGCATGTCCAGAAACTGCTGAGGAAAAAAAAGACAAGACAAAATGCTGTTTTGGGTTGTGTATTGTGCACATACATAAATTAAATGCTTTGTCAGTATAATGCCAGAATTATATATCAATATGTCTGACTGTGAAGCCAAACCTGTCGAAAGCTCCAACAGGATGTATGAACTAGACATCTTGTATCATTTGCGTTTGTTTCAGCACCACCTTTTGTCTCTTTCCTCTCACCTGGTCCTTCATGTCGGGGATGATCCTCATGTAGCCCCTCAGCCTGGTGCTTTGCACAGCTGGTGATGGTCTGTCCCGTGTGATCACATATCCAAACCATAACAACAGAGGAAGGCTCAGGCTGAGCAGGCATAGGAAGCAGAGCAGCTATAGCGGAACAGAGAGGTGTTGGTGTGCACACCCGGACATGCACTGAACATTAATGCAGTATATGAATGCGTATTTCACATTAGAATAGAATAGAACTGTATTTTACAACGAAATTGAAAATACAGTCCTTGGTGCGATAGCAGAAAAACAACAAATACATAAAAAACATGAAAAGCCTCATGCACCCATATATTAAAAAACGTTCTCGTTCTTACCAAACATTTCATATTAAGGCCTTTGGGAAGACCCTGCTCCAAAGACCCAGGTGACACTCATTTCTCCGCCGCTTAACTTGTGGCGACAGTAATAAGCTCAGTCATGAACGAATCATAATCCAAATGGTTCGTATTTAACGCTGCATATTTTGATGATTACACTCTCTTTGACAAGTGTTTCAGATCCTTTTCTTTCCGGTTTACTTTAGTGTTCACCCCACGGCAGGCAACGTGTGCGGTATTCTTATCTTAGCTACATCAAAGTTTAATGAATTGTTAGATGTAATACATCCTGTTTTCTACCCGTTGTTGCGCACAGCGTGTTGGCACAGTAACATTGATTTCTAGAACCTAGCTCAGACAAAAGTTCCGGTCTGATTTCACAACAAAACTCATATTAAAACAGCCTATTTCACAGCACATACAATAGATTTTGTGAGAACTTCTACGTGCGCAAACACTATTATGTGCGTAGCACCTGTATGTTGATGATAATCATGAACAATACAGAGGGACTGTAGGGTGTATATTTTATCGTTGAAATGTCTGTTTTGGGGGCTTGTCATGATTTTTCTTCAAGATAAAAGTTACTGTGGTTGAAATGTGGTGGCTGTTGAGGAAGCTAACAATATATATTCCTAAATATCAATGTATACAACGATACTGTACCTGGTAATACGTTGTACATTAGAAGTTAAACCTTTTGCACATTTATTCTGAAACGTGGATGTCAAAACCGGAAACAAGTATTTCATGTTATTCTGGTGAGTTCTTATACTGTACTAAAAAGCCAGGCAGAAATAAAATGTTATTTACTATGTTATTTCCTTGCTTTCTTAGATAGATGTTACTATGACAAATAGAACTCATTCATATGTATTTTATGACATTTTAATGACGTTTTTACAACTTTATGAACCGGAAACCAGGAAACTAAGACAGATTTTACTTTCTGAGTTTCGCCCATCGCGTTTTGACAATAAAACCATGATCTGATTGGATTGAAAAAGTACTCGCCCCTCCCAGCTTTCAATCCGATTGGCCAAGAAAAAAATTCTTCTGTATTCCTCGTCTCATTGGCCGGTGGTCATGCCTGTGTTTCCAAAGTGCCTCCCCCGAACAAAAATCTAGTATGCGGCTTTCACTGACTGTGACATAGGAATGTCCTTTCTTACCTTCTTGGATGCTCATAGTATCTACTTAAATGAGCGTTTAGGCTGTTAGTTGTATTGCCGATGAGCTGTAGATAAAGTCGCGGAAACCGCTGTGGCGTCAGTACAAAGCCCCCACAGGCAGTGTCTGTTATGATGTGAGATGACAGATCAGGTGGGCTACAGCTAAACTAGCTAATGTGCTAGCTAACATTAGCACATACGCATGTGAGGACTGTTGCCTGATTGTTAGCTGATTTGACCTGTCATTATCATTTTCTTAAAGAACCAACTTTTAATTCTATGCATTTGTGTAAACATAAAACTGTAGGTAGGGCTGGTTCAAGGTTTCGGCTGTTGGACGAGTTAATAGCCTAGCATGCAATTCACCTTATGTCAAGGGTCTTTTAATGACCAGTTTCTCCATTACAATAATTTGTCCTGTCTGATTGGATAATGAATGTGCTTTTTGTATATCAGTCTAAGTTAAATAGAATTAGACAGTTTTGCTCCGAAGAAAGAGAGAACGTCAGCCAGACCGCACCTGCAGTTTGTCATGCAGGTGTGGGGCAGGCTTGTCAACTGGCTGCATACCAGATAGTGTAAACTGGCACTGCTACTTAGCAGTTAATGCTAGCTTGATTGTCTGAGCTTTCACCATGAAGTTTTGCAAGTTAGTTCTGTGTGTCTGGAGAGTTTTGCCCTGGAGACAGAATGTCTGACATAGTAATAATTGTGTCTGTGGATGCCTTTATCATTACAAGGCAGTGTTGCATAGCGCTGAATAACAAGGCTGTGCACTCAGTTTTAATACTTGTCTTATCTATTGCAGGGTAATAAGACACTGGAGCAGTGTGGAGTACAAGCCCATCTTTGGATGACCAAAAATAGTTCATCAGCAAGCCCTGACCTGGCTGATCTCAGAACAGAGAGGAAACCTTGTTCAAGGTGAATGTGAGAGAGCTTTGCAGAGCTGTGGCCTTAAGGCTTTTTTATTTTTGAGATGTCGGTCAGACAAGCAGAGGGGATGTCTATCGTCCAGGCTTTGGCCATGACTGTAGCAGAGATACCAGTGTTTCTCTATTCCACATTTGGGCAGGTAAGGCACTTTGCATTGGCAGTTATGCTTTGCATCTGTGTACACAAGCTATCCTGTGTAGATCAATAAAAACAGAGCTCATTATAATGACAGATCATGTTTGCCTGTTCTGTTTTCAGTCCATATTTTCTCAGCTAAAGCTTACCCCGAGCTTGAAGAAGGTGTTGTTTGCCACAGCACTGGGCAGTGTTGCTCTGGCTCTTACCGCCCATCAGCTGAAACGACGGGGGAGAAAAAGGAAGCAGGCAGCACAAGCCAAGGAGGGCCAGAAGGTGGTGGGAATGCCCGAGGCACTGATGAAGAGAGGCAGACCTTCCTCATTAAAGAGAGGTGTGTATATGTTTTAGAAATTTTGAAATTCTGACTTCATGTTGTGGTTTGAAGGGTGTCTCAGCATCTGCAATACTTGTATGTAGATACATCCAGACATGATTTTTAAAATTTTATTTTACTTATTTATTTTTGTATAGGGCCGTTCACTGGTCGACAGATGATGAGCCCCAGCACTCGTAGCAATGACACCATGAGTGGAATCTCTTCCTTGGCTCCCAGTAAACACTCGAGTTCCTCACACAGCCTGACATCTGTTAGTTTCATACACATTAATTATTATTATTTTTTCACATTTGTCTATCTATTCCTTTTCCAATTTCCTGTTTTGACTTTGTTGTGTGTTTTTGACACAGATGCGGGTCCCAAGTTCCCCAAATCAGTCTGTCAATCCATCCACTCCCTGGGAGGCAGAGGCTGTAATGGAAGAGTCAGGGGCAGTAGAGGATGCTAATGCTGAGAATCTGTATTTAATGGGTAGGTGTTTGTTACTGCACAAAATTTTATAAAAAATGTGACACATGGGCTGTTTTTGTTTTGATGAAGACATAGTGCTGTTTTCCTGCTAGGAATGGAACTGTTTGAGGAGGCTCTGCGAAAGTGGGAACAGGCCCTGAACATTCGCCATCATACCCCCTCGACCTCTAGCAACAACAGCCTCGCTCTGCAAGGAGCAATGAGTGGAGACTTCCCCATGGTAGCCATCAAACAGTCATTACCAGTACAAACTACCTGACCCTCAAGGGCATAGTGAGATTACTTTGCAGTCCATGTACAGCACTGTATTTTATGGTGCAGTTAGGATTTCATCTACTGTACTTGTGATGTTTTGGATAACTAATGGTTGACCTAGTACCACTGCAGCATGATTGAAAGATATGAACTTCATCCTGAACACAAGCTTTTTATTACATAAACTTAAAGTAGGTTTGGGCCTGTTAAATGCTGTCCTCCCTTCATTATAGGTTGAAGCTCGTAATAAAGTGTTTGCTGAGAAGTTGGAGACACTACTGCACAGGGCGTACCACCTACAGGAGGATTTTGGCAGCAGTATCCCAACAGACAGTGTGCTTGCAGACTTTGGTAGGAGTCATTTTGAACTTGTATGTGACGTCAATAAAGGAGAACAAATTTGGGGTAAAAAAATAAAAAGAGAGATCTGCACTGCCAAAAGAACATCATTAATATTATTGATGAAATTAAAAGCTGCACTTCATCTCGGTCTGTATAGGTAGTTAAATAGTGGGGGTGTGTGTTTTACATCTCTGGTGGTACATCTGTGTTTTGTTCGTTGCTCTGTGAGTCACAGTTTGCATCTCTCCTTTGGCAGAGAGTGAAGGAACTCTTATCTTGCCACAAGTGGACAGTTTCCACAGACTGCAAGACGATGATGCAGCTACTGTTACCTCTGATGACTCCTTCTTCTCGGCTGCAGAGGTTCGCTCTTTCTCTCTGCTCTCTAAGAACTGACAGAAATTAAGACATTATGGTAGTCACTGATTTCCCAGAGCCCTCTTGTGTTTGTATCACATACACTTGTACATAATATACACTACCAGTCAAAGGTTTGGACATACTTTCCCACTGAATTGAATGGGGAAAGTGTGTCCAAACCATTGACTGGTAGTTTGTATATTTGGGCTTTGTGTTTTATCTGTGCAGCTGTTTGATGCCATGACTCTAGACGACGTCTACCACCCACTTAAGCCAGCTGCTCTCTATGAAGAAGCCTTATCTCTGGTCCAGGAGGGCAAGGTCACCTGCAGATCCCTTAGGTAAGAGAACTAGGAAGTCTTAACTGAAATACAGTAATTAAAGCTGCACTAATCAATACTTTTATAGTAATAATGGATTACATTACTGTGTGCGATGTCAAAGGACACAGTGGTAGTTCGCCTCAATCCTTTCGGGTAGTTTTGCATCTCTCAGCCGATTGTTTTGGTTTAACGGCCTGCATCTTTCTAGTTTTGGTTCACAGTCTCTGTTCTTACCTTGTGAGCACAGTGGAGCAGTTACAGTAGCAGCTAAAGAGCAAGACATGTCTCACGGGAGTTGATGAAAGCCAAAACAGAGCTACAGTAAAAGGAGCATGAATCTTTCAGTTCATCCAGTGGCTGGAAACACTACTATAAATGAATGCTAATGTTGTTCTGTGTCTCCTGGTTGAGTAGAAGTGTTTGCTAAATTGTTACAGCTTTATAATAATGTCTGTGTTGCATTTTTTTTTGTCTCCTTATCCAAAATGGCCAAAAGAATCTGCTTTTAATGTACAACAACAAATAGAAGAATAAGTTTGCATTGAGTTTCATGCATGTCTTTTTACCAGGACTGAATTACTTGAATGTTACGGTGATCAAGACTTCCTGGCCAAGCTTCACTGTGTGAGACAAGCTTTCCAGGTCTGTTCAGCTTTATGTGACTTACCCATAACATTACTGTATAAAATCATCTTCTTTGTTTTGCCTGATTGCAGTTGTTGAGATAATGTCTTGCCTGGAAGCCCTCCCTAAAATGGAAAATGTGGGGGTTTGCATTTTTAAAGCCTTTTTTAAAATGTTTGGAAGCCTGCATTATTTATGGTGTCTTGTAAATTTCTTCTTGTGGTGCATTAATGCCAGCAACTATTATCACACTGTAAAAATATATATTGTGTTGTCTTCATGCTTGTGGGGTGTATCTGCACCCTTGTGCAAAGAGTAGGGGTCCCTGATTTTAATAAGGTAATGTAATTCAGGTGTAAGCAGGCCATCTAAGACAGATCTCATTTTCTTTCCCCTCCTTTTACTGGAATTATCATCTCTGACCTCAATCTGTGTATGTAATGAGATACGACTAGAAGTTAAATGTAAAGGGAGCAGCTGCAGTTGGGAGAGGTGACTCACACTGCACCTTACACTTAGAAAAATGCATAGCATGGACCTTTGAACTCTGGATTTTTAACTTTGTCTTACAGGCTCAGGTGTTTACAGGAGTGAAATTGATGCCTTTCTAATTTGGATGACTTGTGTGAAGTTTTATTTTTGTCTGTGAGAATATGTGTATTCTCCTTTTGTATGGCTAATTTCCTGTCTGCTTCCCCTGAGGAAGCTGACTCACTTTTAGGTTAACTGTGGAACTGAATGTCTTTTTGAGGCACGCTGAAGGCATGCAGCACTACAGCAAAACAACCAGACACACACTGTATATGTAAACAAAATTATTATAGAAATTACTATAGATAATAGACCAATAATGCGGTTTTTTTTTTCTTTCAGGTTCTGTTGTTAGATGAAACTCACCGCACATTTTTCATGGAGATCGGGAAGCAAATGATTGCAGGGTTAATGGTAAAGGCAGACAAGGTAAAACCCTACTCATTTGGATAATCAGTTGTTAACTGGTCCTATCTGAGTAAACAAGACAAGCTTCTGCTTCCATGGATGTTTTTTGCACAGGGGTAATTAAGTAATTCTTGTCTTGTTTTCATGCTTTTAACGCAGAGTCCAAAAGCCTTCCTAGAAAGCTATGAGGATATGCTGCTTTATACACAAAGAGAGGAAACATGGCCAGTCACTAAGATGGAGCTGGAGGGCCGAGGGGTGAGGAATGCTTTCAACCATGTGATCAGATCTCCTCTTCATTTTGTCTTTCAACATGTGCCTCTTAACATAACTACATGTTGGTGCAACCGTCAGACCTTGTGCCTTAGAAATATATCAGGCACATGGTCAGTCTTTAAGAAGAATGAATATCTTAAACAGTC